ATGTTTTACTGGTTAGCTGTGAGCTGCATGCAGCTTTTATTTCTGCATGCTTGTTCTCAAAGGGCCAACCCATGCGCACAACCTGAACTAATGCAATAAATACTTCTTCCTATCCAAAACGTTGAGGGGGAGGAAGTTGTTGGGGGGTTTTTTGTTTGTTTTTTTATTGTGAAATCTCCTACTCAAGCCCCGCAGCATGTTCTGTACCGTCTTGCAGTGTTTTATGTGAACTCACACACGCGCGCACGCCCACATACACACTGCAAAACACACTGACCGGAACAAAGAACGCAGGTCCGACAGACGACGGCTTAAGATGAAAAGTTTCAAAATGGCTGCAGAAATTCTGTGTGAAGTGGGATTTTGAACCAGAAGTCACACAACAATGTTTTTTGAAAGGTATAGATTTAGCGAGGCTATTAGTTAGCGAGCTGATGGACGAGTGAATGCAATCAGATTATCAACTAGATATCATGTTGGCAAACTAGTCTGCCTAAGATTAAATTCTTGACAAGATATCTGTGGTGAAATGTGAGACATATGTATAGTGGACTTAAAATAAAAAGTGGTGGATCAATGTTAGCAATATACTCGTAAAAAGATACATCCAGATGCATATATTAACGTTTTCAGAAAAACTTCATGAATTCAGCTGATTAAAAAATGGCTAATACTTATATTTGTCAGGGATGTTGCAAAAATGACACAAGATTATTTAATCAAAGTTTCAGCGCTGTTAAAATTGACATTAAGAAAAGACCAAATATGTTAGAAAAACATACAGGCTGCCATGTCTGGATTCTTTCACTCTCTCTATATATATATAATCTGAATTATATATGTATCTGGATATAATCTCTAAACTGTGGCTCCAAACCTACAAAGCTAATGTTTTTGATTATGGCTGCAACGAGAAATGAACATTTTAGACATTTTATTCTACAGTCTAAAGTAATATCTTTCAAACTATGCTGCCTATCTCTTTATTTTTTCCATGTATGTAAGAAAAGCTCAAATCATTCAACAATATTTTGTTTCAGTTTGTAATACAGGATTCAATTTAGTCTAAAATTTAAAATGAGAAATATTTTTTTATTTAGTTTACTGTTCTTACTTTCCGTAATATTAGAAAATTGTCGTGTGTTTTTTCAACCACAGGGCGTAAAACAGCTAAACTGTAGCAGACTCTCCTCATCAGATCTAATCTATCTTTTACATTAAGCTAAAGAGAGGGAATGTTTCTGGCCTGGCATGCACCCAACAGTCACGCAATTTCACTCATCTGCGTTCGTTTGCACATGAGACCCGGCGCCATGCAGCCATGTGGGCGCTCAGAGCAGAACATTAGGAGACGCATACATATTGAGCAAATGAAACACCACAGCCTTAAGGTGCGAGGGATTGTGGAGAGGGAGGTAATGGACAGTTATGCAATGTGGCTGCCAGATTAACAGACTGACTGGAGACCTGACATTGTTACATAATGCTGAGTCCAGACACTAATCCATAGGGCAACCTGGCTGGAAGGCTGCATACATGACTAGTGACCGAAACCAAGGAGGTCTGATGACGAGTTTCACCTGTTTCCCAAGTTTCCCTGATACCTCCATGGAAGCTTCTTTCATGCTTCCTCAAAGACCAAGAGAAACTACTTCACGCAATACACAAAGGCTTCATCTCGTCACATTTGCATTAGTACTCTGCCATGGAAAGCATGATTGCAGGGAACTTGATGCAAGCGAGCCCCACTCACAGGTTTCGGGATGCAACCACAGCACAAGGCTCGACAAGGTTTGGTTCCTCACATTTCCCTGGCAGGGAGAGTCGCTTATCCGAGCCAGATCGATTTCAATCGGCCGCTCACCAAAATGATGTGGCTGCCAACGGGGCTATCGCAATGGAGCTATAAATACCCCCGCTGGCAGGCCATGTTGCGGCCACATACGCAATGGTGAGTCCAGATTCACATGTCCACCGATGAAATCAAATTACAGAGGCAAAAACGGAGGCGTAACTCTCATCAAAACTCTTTCCACTTGCTGACACGGTTTTGAGAGGCGGCAATTAGAGCAAAAGGAAAATGTGGGGCATCCTGGGCATGCAGGAAAGAAAAACTGAAATTCCAAAAATGAAGAAAGAGCAAAAAGAAAAAAAAAAACTTGGGCAGATAGAGTTAGCTCATCAATAGGCCCACAAGCCACGTCTTTTGAATTATCCACTTGATCTCTTTTTTTTTTTTTTTTCCAAATGAATAGTGAGGAATTCCCACGGGATCTGAGAGCAACTGTGTGACCCATGATCATGTCAAAACGACGTCGAAACAACTGCCTGACTTGCCCCTCAAGTATTTCACCAAATCAAGTGTGGAAACAATCATTATTGATCAAATCAACCCTGATCAAGGCAAAGTCTTGATTAGGGTTGATCAAGACTTTGCCTAGTGAAAGATTTTGTCTGTGAAAGATTGAGACTGGAACACATCTTAGATAATGTAATCTTAGATTACTCAGTCAAAGCCCGTATCTTAATCCAATTAAAAAGTTTTGTGGCAAGAACATTCCAATCGTTACCCGTTACGTCACAAAGTCATAGCATGGCTACAGAAGTTGCAGAGGCAGATGAATGCAACTATGTTCTGTCTGAGGTAAATGCAGACTCATTATTGGGACAAATTCAAAAGGTCTGAATCGCCTTTATATGAAATAGCAAGAAGGTAGGTGAAGGAGCGGAGGGGCGCTCCTTCACCTAGGAGTTATTGAACATATCATTTGAATATGCAGAAACAGCTATCACTATTAAATACAGAAAATGCAGAAATAAATTTTATACCATCGTTTTGGCACCCTCTCTAGCATTGCGCCCCCATGCATCACAAATAGGGCATACCTACCTGTTGCGTCAATGTGTAATGAAAAAGATTAAATATCTTTGAATTTGGTTCATTCTTATCTGGTTTCTCTCTATGACTTTGCATGACTCCGGACACACCCAAAGAAAGTATTTCGTTCCACCTGTTGGACATGTCTGTGGTGGAATGCGCCAGGCGTTATTCCACGCATTTCACTGTGATCCAGACTTCTTTCAGCCCAGCGACTTTATGAAAAGCTCAAATAAGCCGGTAACCCAGAAGAACGGAGTAGTTCCAGCTCACCTGTTCTCGCTTGTTTGGACTGTAGGAGGCCATGCATGAAAGGGTTTTCAAAGTTCAAGGGTGTGGAAGAGTTTAAAAACCCTTAGAGAAGAGGAATACATTTGAATAATAGTAATTAACCGATTACTATTAATAGTATCTTTATCATGGAAAGACGCTGCAGGATAAGTGGAAGATGTACAGGATATTTCTGGGCATATTTCTTTTGAAGCACAATCCATTAAACCTTTGAACATTTTTATGCAAATGTATCATAAGATAAAAGCAAACAAACCCCTGAGGGTCACATATCCCCACATTATCTGCATGCACATAGTAGTATATCCCATAATATGCAAATGAATAAAACACTGTACATATATGGTGAGGCAGCTCACCAAGGCAACCTAGAGACCTAAATAATGCAAATATGATACCAAAGTTCTGCTTGCAGTACACACATGAGTTACAGACCAACTGTGTAAAATGGATCGCTGCAGTTCGACATATAGGCTGCTAATCTGCTCTCAAAGTGTGTATGTGTGTGTGCACATTTACATAACATTCCAGCCGTATAGAGAGATAGCATTCCCTGAAACTCCCTGATGCTTCTGTTTGGCTAGCGAGTGGCACACACCCACACACACACATGTTCATGCAGAGAAGGGCATCAAAGGTAGCACGAGATAAAAAGTGGAAAGTTCACAGAGAAGCAAGGCCACGTTCAATGTTTGACATTAAAACTGGAAAGTTTACTTGCCGGAATGGACCAGCTGGCTCCTCCAGCGCTCTGATTACATTCCCATGTGCTTGCGCTTATTGTTATGATGCTGTGAGCCACTGGTATGTTTTCATACTCCTGCCTGCGAACGGCTTGGCGTTCTCATGCAGCATCCCTAAAAATGCCAAGTTGCGCATTAAAGTTTCATCGACAAATATCTGGAAGAAGCACACATGAATCGTTGAAAAATTACTGCGTGCACGTGCGGTGCAGCAGAGAAATTGAGAAAGTTGGAATATGATATCTAAGAAAACAGAATAATTAATTCTTCAGTTTTATGCTTCTTTTTATACTTTCTAAAAAGTATGCAATTAAATTTAAGAACAGTAATTATATATATATATATATATATATATATATATATATATATATATATATATATATATATATATATATATATATATATATATATATATATATATATAATTATAACTTAACCAACAAAAACTAAATAAAATCTAATTAATAGAAAGTAAGTCCACACACTTGTGACAGTTTAATAATGTCCAAATTTTAGATTGATCTCAAAATGAAATGAAATGTAAACACACTGCCTCAGTGAGTGTCAGTAGATCTAACTTCTCAGCTGCGACACACAAGCTGCCGTAGTTTGTGTTGTGCGTCTTCCTGCTGCAGAGCTGCAGAGGAAAAGAGTAGGGAGGGAGAGATGGAGAGAAATTGCCGCCACGTGCGCTCAAACGACTCCTTTATTATGAAAACTTTGTCTGGATTGGCCGAGATGCGAAACACTGTATTTATAGACGTTTTCTAATTGGCTGTCTCCTCCGAGTCGATAGGATAACACAGCGCGCAGCCTCCAGACAAGGTATTCTTGGGCGTCTCGTACTATGAGAAAGTAGTGCGTCTGAAAAATATATATTTCGAAGGACTCTTTCCTTACAAATCTATTAGGACCTTTAAAACTTCACATATAGTCGATTTAAATTTTTATTCGCCAAATATTTTGACGCTATGTTTTAAAATTCATGTGGAAACATTTGTTGTTGGAGCGGAGGGATACCAAGCCTCTCGGTTACGCGTCAAAATATTGGCTTGGGAAGACCGCGCCAAAGCACAGACAGCGGCCACTCTCCGGGATATTAACACACCGCAGTGGCCCCTTTAAACTCACTGTACACTTTGTACTCTCATGCTACTCGCCTCCATACGGACTTTCTCTTGATTTACAAGTTTTTTGTTGGGAATACTTGACGTCGATACACGGGAGTCGGAATTGATGCCGGTTTTCGGGAAATAGTGCGCGACTTAACGGTCGTGACACGACTTTCTCCGTCGGGCACTGTGTGCGGCGGAGTTGGCGCAGAGCTTGGACCGGGCTGCCCGCACGGTCCGCGGCGCCGTTTCTGAGCCCGTCGCTATTCTCGCTCCTGGTGACTTTTCCGAGCAAGCCGAACGGGACCCGTTTACGCCGGCGTCGCTCAGCTCGAATATGCTGCTGTCAAAGTTTGGTTCATTTTCGCACATTTGCACTCCCTCGAGTATGGACCACCTACCAGTGAAGATCCAGCTCCCGCCCGGTATGTCGCCGCTCCGCTTCCCCATGTTGGATTTCTCCCACCAAAGTCATTTCAAACTGACCAGTCGGTGGAGATTATTTTCTCATTTTCCCCTGTTTTTTTTACTTGCAGTCAAAGTGGAGAAGGAGCCTTTCGAGAAGGTGTACCAAGTGGGCTCGGTGCTCGGCAGCGGAGGGTTCGGGACGGTGTACGCCGGCAGCCGGATCTCTGACGGCGCACCGGTGAGGATTTCACGGCGGGGTTTTTAGCACAGATAACGTGGATTTGAACGTGCACCTTTTTAATGTGTGCTCTTTCGTGTTTTCCCAGGTCGCTGTGAAACACGTCGCGAAGGAGCGAGTGACAGAGTGGGGCACAATTGTAAGTGTGCGGTTTGTTTTGGTCCCCCACCCACCCTCTCTCTTGTGCTGCAGCTGGGTGCGGGCGTTAATATTATTTTTACCTGTGTTGTACTATTGTTATTAAAGGACGCCATCTTTTTTTTCTCCCCCCCACCCCCCTTCTCTTATTACAGAACGGAGCGATGGTGCCGTTGGAAATCCTGCTGCTGAAGAAGGTCAGCTCGGCTTTTCGAGGAGTTATAAAGCTGCTGGACTATTACGAGCGAGCCGACGGCTGGCTCATCGTCATGGAGAGGCCGGAGCTCGTGAAGGACCTGTTCGACTTCATCACCGAGAAGGGAGCCCTGGACGAGGACACGGCGCGGGGCTTTTTCTGCCAGGTTCTGGAGGCGGTCAGGCACTGCTACAGCTGCGGAGTAGTACACAGAGACATCAAAGACGAGAACCTGCTGGTGGACCTGCGCACCGGGGAGCTCAAGCTCATTGATTTTGGCTCAGGGGCGATTCTCAAGGACACGGTCTACACTGATTTCGACGGTAAGCGGCGCTCGTTGCTATTACGGGACGTCACGGCGCTCGTCAGTGGTGGGATTTCGTGTATGTAATTATTTCTTATGCGTCCGCGTGGGTCGACTTGTTTTTTTTTTTTTTTTTTGCCCTTGATGCTCCTGGCTGTGCTATATTCAGACGCGGAGGCGATAACGAGGCTGTGACGCAGTGATCCGTTTTGGGTCGAGGGTTTTCCTCACCAACAACCCCTCGCGCGCATTAATATTAGAAACGCAAACCGGATATGCACGATGATGATGATGATGATGATGATGATGCTCCAGACAAATCTCAGTGAATATTTTCAGAGGTGACTCATCGATATTTTTTTTAATGTTTTTTTTTTTTTTTAATCGGTGACGCATTAATCTCTCGTGAGCCGGATTGTACTTTAATGTTTCCGGTCATGACGTTGCCATGGCAGCCTGAGTCACGGTGTGTGCAGTGGTGTTGTGGATCTAAGGTCGGTGCCACCTAACATCTGTTTGTTGTGAAACTAGAGTCGGGGCTTCACGTGATGGGCTCACGTTGCTTTAGTTTTTTTGGGGGGGGGTTTCCCAAGCGAGCCACAAGGGGGTGGCAGGAGGGGAATGCCCACCCCTAGGAATTTGCATAATATATTTTTTAAGCGAATTTAAGAGATTAAGGTGAGATTACGCTTCAGAAAGCTGCAGTCTATACATGCCGCAGCGTGTCAATTTTTATTCCACACACCCAGAATCCTGTCAGTGCCTGCATTGCTCGCGCCTTTTTTTGGGTGTGTGTGAATCCATCCACTGTGATTCTGTTTTGTGGTTTTTGTGAGCCAACACTTTGCTTACGCTACTCCTCATTAAATCCCCAGGTACAAGAGTCTACAGCCCGCCAGAGTGGATCCGCTTCCACAGATACCACGGCAGGTCGGCAACTGTGTGGTCGCTAGGCGTGCTGCTCTACGACATGGTATGCGGAGACATCCCCTTCGAGCAAGACGATGAAATCCTCAAGGGGAGGCTTTACTTCAGGAGAAGGATCTCAGCTGGTGAGTGTACACAAGTGCATAGCTGGACTCTGTTGCCCTCTAGCAGTATTTAGTGGTATAGCAGTCTACTACATATGATGGGTCCATCCATACAAAGGTTAATAATGACACTCTTGGACAGCCCTCTTTCTTCAACAAGAGATATCTTTTTTATTTTTTTTTTATTTTTTTGACATTTTATTAATGTCTGCTTTGAAAATCTATAATCAGTCTAAAATTAAATCCAGATTTGACCAGTCTAATTAGACCCATTTAAGTCCAGTGTATAAGTAAATGATTTATTCCATTGGGAACATATTGCTGAATGCAGTTCAGACTCATTTAAAACTTAAATAAACCTTGTTAAGAGGGGGAAACAGAAATTTTCTTACAGCTCCCCCATAATATGGACATGGCAGTAAGCAATAAAACAGTAATTTCTGTTGCCTCTCACTGACACAGTGGCGCCCCAGGTGAAGAGCCACGCGGTAAATTGCTAGTAACTTTTCCACAAGCTTATGTGGGACTCAGCTGATGTTTCTTCGTGCAGAATGCCAGCAGCTGATCAAATGGTGCCTGGCCCTGCGGCCCTCCGACCGGCCCACTCTGGAGCAGATCTGCGACCACCCCTGGATGAGGAACGCGGAGGAGTCCCCCAAGTCGCCAGAGGAGCCCGCGGCGGGAGAAATCCGCCTCAGAACCATCGACACGGACTCTTCGTCAAGCACAAGCTCAAGCAAGGAGAGCCTCTGAGCGCGGTTCCGATGGGACTCAGTGGACTTTGTGAAGAAATAGAAGGGGGGGATGGTGGGAGGATGAAAAGAGGGGACAGACACGGACTTCTGCCCACCCAGAACTGTCAGCGGCCATGTGCTTCACTCATTTGGCCCAGAGAGAAACAACAGGAAATAAGAGTACATTCATTTTTTTTCCTCTTTTGTAGGGAATTTCTTATTTATTTTTGTTGGTTACACTTTATCTTATTCGTCCCCATCTCCTCTCCCCCTTTTTTTTTATTTTCCAATTCAGTTCATTATACTTGTTTCCAAATGGGGAACATTTTGCTGTTTGGGTGGTCTTACCAGCACTATTTATTTCCCCTCCCTTTCTTTATATTACTAGGCAGATATATGCATATATATGTATATACATATATATGCATATATAGAGCTGGCAAGGCCCTCCTATTCAGACTGCTCTCATAGAGCTTGGAGAAGAGTTTTTATTTAAATGTTTTAATTTTGATTTTGGAGTGCCTTTTTTTGGAAAGCTGCTTTTCTTGGGGGACTTTTTTTTTGTCAACAACCAACAGTGAGGGTATGGGGGGGTTGCAGCCTGTGGTGTGGTGGTTAGATTGTCTGTGCTGTGATGGAAGAAGCTTCAAGAAGTAGATTTTTTTTTCTTTTAATTATTATTATTTTATGTGACGTTTTTGTCCCCCCTCTCCCCACTTCTCTTCATCACTGTAGGGCAACGCCTCCTCATTCCAGAGGCGGAGGTGGAGTTCAAGTGTTTGGTAGATTGGGTGGGGGTTCTTGAGGGGTTGGAGAAGGGGGTGGGGGTATTTTGTTGTACAGTGTAATCTTTTAAAAGACTTTGGACGCCAACTGTCCTGCTGCATTAAAACAATCTTGCTTTATGTTCTTCTACACTGAACATAAACTTACAACAAAATACTTGAAAGCACCTCTTGTCGATCTCTGTAAACGCTGCTTATTCACGCTGTAGCCTGAACAGGTGTTTTGTAAACCGAATCCTGTCTTTTTCGGAATGTCTACAAAATATCAACATACACCTTTCCTTCTCTCCCCTCCCGACCCCCCACCTTTTGCGCCACCATTTCCCTCCCCCATGCCTGTTGCGGGGCGAAGATGGGGAGGGGTGTGTGGTACTTCTTTTTGCCTCCCACCATCTCACTGCTTGACTCCACGTGCCCACCTTCCCCCCACCTCTCCACTGGCCTCCCTAAGGGTTTGGGGGTTTAGATGCACAATCAATGCAATATTCATGGGTTCAATTGTTTTTTTGTTTTTTTTTCTACAAATATTGTACAGCATGTTTTTATTTTTATTTTCCCTTCCTCCTTTTTTATGTATGCGTGTACAATTTTTTTTTTCTCTCCATTTGCATTCAATTTATTCATAAACGTAGACATTCCACACTCAGTGGCTATTTATTTATTTATTTATTGTCTATGCTTAAAAACCCTCCCTGCTCCTCCACAAACACACAAAGATTTGCATAACCCACTTGGCCTTTGGTTTGCATTCCTATAACCTATTTTTACATTTCAACTTTTTTTTAAATTTTTTTTTTTTCTGAGATGTTGAGGATGCACTGAAGCAGTTGTCAATGTAAAGCAGAATAAAAAGACGTTTACTTTAAGCAGAGCATTTGAATGTTATTTAATTTACTTTAAAGGAATAAAAGTCTGTTGGTAATGTTAAATGACTACGTATCAGAGTAATAAATCTGGTTTGTGTACTGTCCAGGTTAATTTAAGTTCTATGGCAAACTAAACAATAGGCAGAGCATTTTTTTAATTATTATTATTGTTTTGTCACATAGCCTACAAATGAGACATTTCACTTTAGCTGTGTGACCTGTGTGAAGGATGGATATTGCTATTTTTTGATACAGAAGTTTCAATTAAACACCCATTTTTATGTACAGAAATCAGTCTGGTGTGTTGCTGTTTTCTTACCAAAACACAGATTTGTTTTGTCTCCTGTTTCTTTTATACACGACTATGAGATTCTGTTGAACATACATTGCTGAGAACACTTAATAGCAACCACTCAGGAAGAAAAATAGCCTTAAAATATTGTACAATAATCTTGTCATACCGTGGAATAAAAATGAATGGATGTCTCAGACAGATGGATGGATTAATGAACATAGATGTGGATGAGAGAGTATCAGAGTAATAGTTTTTCCATTTAATGCCTTCTGCATTTCTGCCTGCTGCCCGCAGAGAAAGCACAAGTAATAATAACCCGCACTCTATGAGTAAGAGGCCGATGAGTAGGATTTCCAGGAACCAAGAGTGAAAGAGAAATGTTTATTGTTCTTTTTTTCTTGGGACCTCTGGTAAATTCGTGACGTCATGTCACACCTTCCTCCTGCTTCTGGGAAATAATCTTAACCCCTTCTCCTCCCTACAAGCATCACCCCATTTCCATATCCTGGAAATGGGGTGATGCTCACTCCCTTGATTCCCCACAGAAAATGCTCATCTTTGCTTACAAAAGCAATCTGAAAGGCCCTCCTGGACGCATTTGCATCTGTTTGACTCCTTCCTATTCAGCCAGAGTGAAGACATATTGGTGTTTGAGGACTTGACAAGACGGCTGGTGCTCACATCTTTTCGGGGGTCTGATTCTCGTTGAAGTGTTGGTTTCATGCATAGATAAGAAGAGCGGTTTCTTTCACTTGGACCATACATATGGATGGTCAAAACACCACTTAACACAACCCTCCAGTGCTCTTTGCATAATTGTATGTTCTCTAGAGTTCTAATAATCTACCTTTACTTAAGAAGGAGAGGAGAATATAAAGATTGGTGGGCATGAATGTTGACTATTTGAGGCTTTAACCCTTGCCTGATATTTCATCATTAGTCTTCCCAGAAGTAACAGAGCAAAAATGCATTTCTTTTTTATCCAGGTCGTCACAGTTCGCTGGAATCTTGACCACTTCCTCCTGACAGGACGTTCGGATCGTCCGTGGTGGCAAATTCAGGAAAAGTTTTAATTGTGGAACTCTTTCCTGGGTTAACTCAAGCTTTAATCTTTATTATTTATTCTTGCCAGCCAACGTAAACCCCTCTACCAACCAATCAAAATCCAGCAACTCATTTGACGTAGACTAATATGCAGTGGACGCACACAAAAGTTTCAACAACAAGCATTGACTGCATATGGCATGCACAAAAATAGAACATTTGTCCAGGGCATGACTGAAATAACCTATTCCATCTGGTAGACATCTGCGCCCCTTTGTAATGCCACCCTGAGCAACTGCCCACATGGCTCATATTAAAAACTGATACTGTATACATTTAACATCATAGAGGTTAAAACAAACCACGTGGAATATAACATCAGTTTCCTTTCAAAGACTGGATATTGACTAGGAAAAGTGAGCCAAAGTTAATTAAGGTATAAAAATGCAGCCAGGGCAACATATGTCTTTTTCCATCCAATGTGCACGATTCCAAGCATGCATCCACCACCCTGTGATGAAAATCAGCCGGAGTACATTAACATCTGTGTTTCTATATGCATCCCCACTAATCCTCCATTGTCTTGGAGTCTTGGGGCTTATTGACATGCAAATGAGTGGCAACTTCTCTTCATTACAAAACCCTCCTCTCTCTGCTGAAAGCTGCTGCAGGTCCTCACCGTGAAATCCTCGTTAAATGTGGCGGGGCTTATTCCTCATGGCTGTCTCCATTAGGGGAGCATCATTAGTCTCTGGTACATTAGTCGTGGCAACAATGGGGGTTATTTGAAAAGTTTGGGTTTTAATATCTGAAAGGTCTATTGCAGGGCGCACAAAATGTCCACAGACTTCAGGTTACAGAGAGGACACATGGTTAGTAAGAAACATCCAAAATGGCAGGTCAATGATAAGTCAGTACAAAGTGTACCTGAGACAGGTATAGAATCACACGCTTTTTTTGTAGAGCCCCAAGATGGGTTCGAAATAGCTCCCAGTAAGAACAAAATGGCACCAAGTAATATTCAAAATCACTCATGCTGAGTACAAAATGTCATTGAGGAGGGTAGAAAGTGACACATGCTTGGTTTGAGGTGTCCCAAGACAGAAAGTTTGTTTTTGTACCCAAGAGCTGTGGACCTGAACATTTTTTTTTCCCCCCAAAAGTTCGAAACAGCAAAGGGGTGAAATGACAAACGCAGTTTCCTGGTCTGTCTCGTCTGTTATTTGCAAATAGTTACTGATAATTCCATGAACATGCAAGCAGAGCTGTATAAAACCCATTTTAAATCCTTAAGAAACTGCAGCTCTTTGAGCTTAGTTTAAAATGTGCGTGAAGTACTCCAACTTGTCAGCTGTGTCCGAGGTCAGTGTTTCAATGGCTTCTATGTTGTATTTGGTACCGTCTGAACAACACTCCTACATATTAAAGCTGTCAGTGGTGGCTGGGGTTGGTGACAACTTGCTAGACAGTAGTGGAAGACGCCAGATGGACTTTGGGCCCGAGGGCCCGGATGGGCACAGATGGGTGGGTGGGTGGCACCCACACAGCCATCATCGCTGCCAGTGCCAGACTAAGACAACGGAAGAAAAAAAAAAAAAAGATCAGACCATTGCTACTGATACTATCCGCTCATGACACTTTTTTCTTTTTGTTTTTATGAATGTGTGTTCGCAAATGTGACCTTTAAGTAAGGAAGAGGAACGTGTTTGGAAGTCCACTCTTTGTAAGATTAGAAACTTTCTTATGAACTTTTGGATTTTAAATACGTCCTGGCTTAAAATGGAGGATTTCAATTCGTTTGGAAATGACTATTCCGGCACCTGTGCGCTTCCATTACAAATGTGCGCAAAACTTTGTTGATATTAGAACGTAAGCACAATTTTGCAATTGTGGTGTTTCCAATTAAATCACGTTAAAATCACACGTGAATAACTTCATTCACAAATAAATAATTGAAGAACATCCCGCACCATCATCCTCTTATGACTTCCTGTTGTCTTCTTTGTCTTTTCTGTCAATAGCGACATCCGGTTGTTGATTACATGATTCGTGTGGTGCAAAAAAACTTGCTTCCATTGCAGTCTTGCAAAATTAATTTCGATATTCGGTATTGTTCAAAAATTTTGCTCGTTCAAAAATGCTGGGTCTCTACTGAGCAACTTTATTTTCGGAATTTCAATTTGTGCAATTATATGGTTAATGGGAAGGCAGCTACTGAAATCCTTCTGAGATTGATGAGCAGCATCAGTTACTTCTCCATTGCTGATGACTTTATTCCGTGACATTGTGATAATACATGCACCTGTTTCTCCCCTCTCCGGAACCTACAGACTCACAAGTTTACGATCTGCTGCTGCTTTCTCTCCTGAATCCACAGAAACAGCAATGGGAAACTCACCTTTTCTCAGGTTTAAGGGCCCCTTTCTGCCATGTGAACACTTTGTTCTCAACTGCATGTGCTTTTTGGCGATTTGCATGTTGCAAAACATCTCACTGCCTTCTCTGGAGGTCTCCCTGCTTCGTTACTCTGAGCAGCGGCTCCACGGGGACTTTCCACAACTCGGGCACGAAGTTCATTAAAACGCTGCGCCCGCGCCAGAGAGGAGAACCTGGCCACCCGGCTGGTGGGAACCTGCAGCCACTGCCGCGCGCCGTGAAGGCACTCATTGTTCTCGGCTAACAGGACACGGTGTAAACATAGGAGCAGAGTGTGTTTTAGGAAAGGAGAGTCAAGGGGAGACTTTCACACGAGTGGACGAACATACACACACACCCACACACATTCAACTCGCCTCAGAACCTGAGACACACAAACAGATTCCAGAGATGAAACAGAAGCTAGGCAACAAAGTCAGAGTCGAGCCCGAGCACTCAGCTGCTGTTGCCAAGATCCCAAACAACAGCAGCAACAACAACTGCAGATCTCGGCAGGTGAATCGAGGTGACTGCAAGCTGACTCTCAAGGCAGAACAATTTGTCCATCACGTCTGATTACGAGTGGTTGTGGGAAGGGGAGGGACGACAAGAATGTGAGAGAGAGGAAGGTGAAAGGAATGGAGGGATTAAAAGGGGATGAAAGAGAGTCCTCACGGTTGTTTGCCGTAGGAAAACAAGATGGAAATCTTAATCGTGCGAAATCTTGTAATGTGATCAAAAGAATCAGCTTATTTTCCCCCCGCGGCTGTTATCTGTTTCTCCAGCAGGATGAGAGGAGGCTCTGCTGCTGATGAACTGAGACCCCGTCTTCAAAAATATTTGTCCGAGACCGGCAAAGCTTGTTGTTTCAGGTTGGACCGTAGCAAGAGTCATCGGGTTAAGCTCTCCACTCATGTTTGGAACAAATTTGTACAAAATGAAGCAAATTCTGACCCAGTTACATGACAGCAGAAATAAAAAAAATATATATAAAAAAATGCAATTTCTTTAAAAAAAATTGTATTACCCCTATTGGAACAACTTGAGTTAATCAATTCTGTTCTTCTGAGGTATCTAGTTAAAGTTTGGTTATCAGGTGATTGTTAAAGATGGGGGAAAAAACCCTTCGAAAATTTGACTGGGAACCTCACAGTAAAGTAACTCCCTATTGATGCAGTAGCACAAGGCAACATTTACAACCTTTTGCCAATCCTCAACCACTACACAAAACTAAGAGTATTTCCTACACCCATACTTAACAGTTGTAGGAAAGAGCACCTGCTAAAACTAGATAAGCACATCTGTGTCAGTTCTAGCACAATTTGTTATTACACTACAGGTTTCACCTCGATAGAACAACATGAACGGGATTCAGTGCTCTGAAACTGAAACTGCTTAGATGTGAGGCTCTTTGTTTGGTTTACAGAATCTCATCCGAGTGGGATTGTGAGAATTGTTGTGCTGGGAAAGCAAATATGGGGTTTGGTTTCCTGAAATCTATCGTGATAATAAATGAAAGGTACTGCAAGATCCACCGACA